TTACTTTTGTTTAAAATGCTAACATTCATTTAAAAAAAATTAAAATTGAGCCCAAAAGGATGGTTTCAAGAAAAATCATTGTCAGTCTTTTAATCAAAATAGCCAATATTTTGAACAGGTAATAATAGTAATATAAAAATTAAAAAAAAGGCATGTTATAGCAAATTAAAGTATATAAACTAAGTTCTAAATCAGAGAATTTAGAGGGACGAAAACCAAGATTTCACATATTTTCTCCAACTAAATGTTAAAGAAAATAAAAAAAAACTAACATATACACCAAGTCTCCTTGAAGCAGCCAAGCAGATATAAAAAAAAATTAATATGAAGAAATTAGCTGAGACTTACAAATCAGTATGCAATAAATATATTTTTGTGAAAAATGCATCTCACTGTCCCTCTTAATTCTACCAGATTTGTTTAATAAGTCAAACTAGTTTAATATTAGTGGATACTCAAACTAAGTGCCCCATACATCCCACACCAGATTCAGGATGAAATTTCGAGGTTTATATTTTTTTTGGGGGGGGGGGAACACATTGACCTTGTTGTTTCTTTGAACTCTGTGGTCTGTACCATGAAAAATGACAGTTTTAACTTAATTAACTTGTTAGAAGGACTTAATCAAACTTATCTTATATGTCAAGAGTACATCATCTCCACCCCACTAAACAGTTTATATAATCCAAGTAGTTTTTTTTAAAAAAAATAATTGAAATCCATGTTGAATTCATCGGACTTAATGATAAAAGAAAATATTGTTCTTCTTAAATGATCTGGGTTCGAGCAATTGCATTTATAGGATATGCATGTGTTATCAATAATTTATAAAGTTTCAATTTGTTCCTTTTGGAAATTTTAATATTTTAAATTGATAATTTGCATTTTGATACTCTCAAAATTTTACAATTTAATTTTCACTCTAATATAAAATTTGGTTTAATGATATAAAATTTGGTTTAATGAATGTTTTTTCTCTTATATTCGATCAAAAATATTAATATTATCTTGTTTTTAATTGAATCAATGTTGTCCTTTAATTCCCGTTCCACCAATATTGTTATAAAATTGATGTGGTAGTTATAGTGCTAACATGGTGGTCTATAGTATCGATTCGATGGTATGTGATATTAATATGACAATCCACATGTGAATGATGATTTGACAAATGAACTTAATTGAACTTTTAGAAAGCCTCAAAACTTAATTGATTTTTAAAATATTTAACTACTTATTAAAATTTTATAATATTAAAAGATATTTGAAAATTATCTATTTACAAATATTTAAAAAAAATAAGAAAATAAGAAAATATATTTAAAACTACTTGAAAATATAAAATACAAAATTCAGTAAAAATATTCAAAATACTAAAATATGAAGAAAAAAATTAAATATCATCTTGACCTTTTCAACAACTTGAGTTTGTCATCTTTTGTGAATCATAATTTCAATGGATTTATGTAATATCATAATCATTATTCGAAATATCCAAAGCATACAAGGTACTACATTCCAAAATCATAACTAAATAAATCAAATTTACGAGTCTTATTTTATACAACAATTTTATTTGTAACTTTTTAGTCAAATTGAGCTATTTAAATTTATCTTCAAATTTAATTATAATTATTTATAATATTACGATACATATTAATTATTTATGAGATGTAAATATATATTTTCTAATATTCTTTTTCGCATGCAGGTAAGGTTTTTATTGTTGTTTAACATGTACTAAATCCTCTTCTTAAAAGACATATAGTTAGGATACGTATCGTCACTATTTTTAAACTCCATAATCTCTCATTTCCTTTTTAACTTGATTAATCAGTTTATGACCTTATAGGCAGTCTACTTCCTTGAGAGTGCAAGACATGACATTCTCATAGCTATTAGAGTATCTAATATAAAATTAATTAATCAATATATTACTTTAACATCACTTATCACATGATCATTATAATTTTCCTAAAAGTTACTTTTTAAATTTTGTAACCTTTCCTTTTTGCGAACGAAGGACAAATGTATTGTGTCATCTCATAGCTATTATATTTCCTTTTGAAGCAAAAAACTTGAGGCAATATCTTTATTCCGAATGCAAGATAGACCAAACCTTTGCCTATATCTCGAAAATCCATTTAATGATTTGGTCAACGCTGCTAACTAACAAGCCAATCCCAAAACGTTTCCTACAAATTCAAAAAATGAAATCAATTGATGGGGGCTTCAGAGACTTGGACATGTAACAGTTTTTGAAGATGACTAATTAGGGAAGTTCTATATTATTAGACTCACTAAGATAATATCCCTTTTAATGTAGGCTTAAATAATTAAATGTATGTCCCCTAAAGTATACTGTTTGTACCGAGTTGATCTTAAAGTATTTTGTGGGAGCCTCTTGAAGTTTAAACTGTCACTTATGAACTGGTGTGGCTTGCTTTGTTACTGACTTCATTCAACATTCCCATTGTTCATGTAAGTTTGTTCTGTGATAATCAAGCAGCCGTACATCTTGCCACCGATCAGGTTTTTCATGAGCGTACTAAACATATCGAGCTCGACTGTCATTTTGTACAGGACACGGTGAAGGCTGGTTTTCTCAAACTTTTTCGTGTACGTTCTTGTAACCATTTTGCTGATATCTTCACAAAAACCCTACAACCTCCTATGTATAGTTTGTTTGTAGTCAAGCTGGGTCTTCTGAACATTCATGCAACAGTCACATCTTGAAGGGAGGGTGTTGGAGTAACTAATTATTAGTTTGTTTGTTCGGTTATCTTGTTAGTTACGGTTAGGTTATTTTAGTTAAAGTATTCTTCACCTTGTATATAAAACTTGTATTTTTCTTTCTTCAATGAATAACAAGAAGCAATATTTCATCATGTATTCTTGTTTTCTTCATAGATGACAGAAGGCGAGAAAAAGAGGGCTATTTTTGGTATATTAAAATAATATTTAGTTATTCATATAAAGAAATAAAAATTAAAGGGTGAGGTGACACATTTTGATTGGTCCTGATTTATTTTTTTACGGAGTCAATAGTTTTGGGTAAACGGGGTAACGTTTTCACATTTAAGAGGCAAAACATTCCAAAAATATTTTTATCGACAACTCGATACAAATGATATACTTCAGGAGCAATGGTACATTTAAGCCTATAATTTATTCATATATATATATATATATATATATATATATATATATATATATATATATATAGGGATAGAGCTCCCTTAGGGCCCAAGGGGCCCAGCCCCTATTAAAATTTATATATTCGATATTATAGTATTTTAGTTCATATAAAATAAATATTTAAATTTAAAAAATATAAAAAATTATTAAATATTTAATCAAGTAGGGGTGAAACTAAAAGATGATAAGTTTGTGTTCTCAATTTTTTGGTCTAATTACAATTTAAGTCATTGTAAGTTTAAATATTAGACAAATTAGAAGTTGTCGTTTGAGTTTTGAGTTTTTTCTTTTTAATTTAGGGTGAATACAAAATAATATATGTTCAAAGACTTTCAACTATTTGACAATGAAAGCTCATACCCCTACATATGTGCTTGAACTCGGTACCTCAAGGATAACAACAATTCCTTAATCACAAAGATTGCTTGGTTCATTCTGAATTTCGAGTTTAAATACCTAATAAGTCTTTATATTTTTCTTAAATAATCTAATATTTCGACCTCTACCAATAGTTAATTATGGCTCCGTACCTTTATATATATATCCTTGAAAATCTCATACATTCTAATATAAATCCATGAAAAGAACTATAAATAAAGCCCCTTTAAGAAAATTGAAGAGTTTGTATACTGTGGAATTTTAATCTATAATCTTCAATATATATAAATAATTATAAACATATGTGGTATATAATGTACAAACATATATTCTGGACCAACCAATAAATTACTTGTTTGTTTGAGTTTGTTTAATATGTATTTTGGTTTTTGATTAAGATTATGAGGATATCTACCAACTCTCAGCTTTTGACTTAATCAACCGCTTAGGGTTGTTTGAAATTTTGCATATATATATAAATGCACACGATACAGTTCTATATTATTATACTCGCTAAGATAATATCCCTTTTTAATTTATTCAGAATATATATACATACACATTCTAATCTAAATCCTTGAAAAGAATTATAATAAAGTCGCTTTATTAAAATTGAAAAGTGTGTATACCGTGTAATTTGAATCTATAGTCTTTAATATATATAAACAATTTATAAACAAATGTGTTATATAATGTACAAGCATATATTGGACCAACCAATAAATTACTTGTTTGTTTGAGCTAACTTGTTTAATATGTATCTTGGTTTTTGATTAAGAAATTATTAGGATATCTACCAACTCTCAGATTTTTTACTCAATCAACCGCTGTGGGTTGTTTGAAATTTTGCACATATATTGTACGATATAGTTCTGCACAAATGATTAATCTAACCCAGGGTGATTGTTTACCAATAACGGTTGATTTAAGTGGTAAGTAGTTTGATAATACTTAAGTTCGAGATCTCGTATATACAGTAAATCTCTGCTGAAAGACTCAACCACTAAAATCAGGTGTACGACGTGGGTAGATTTGAATAAATCAAACTGAAACCTTAGAACCGGGAGAGAGAAAAATCCAGGGGTTGTTGTTTATATCGTTTTCTTCATTTAAATAACTATATATTTTGTCAAAATCCATTAATTAAGAAATTCCACTCTTAATCGATTGGTCAGTATCCCTCACCAACCTAATTCTCTCAAGATAAACACATCAATTGCCCATTCCAAATGCATAAAATATTTAACAAATGGATCACCAAACTGCAAATATTTTGGATATTACAGGCTTTAGTTGACATAAAATAATATCTTGTTTTTATAGGTTGAACAATAATGTGATGCAAGTTCCACGAGGACAAACTGGCGTTTCTAATATATATATATATATACATATAGAAGCTCTTGTTTTTCTTACCATCTCATTCTCCTCTCTTCTTGTGCCATTAAAATGGGGCGCCAAGTGTTCTTGTTTGCCTGCACTTTCCTTCTTTTCGCTGTCTCAACATCTTCAGCTGCTGGAATAGTGGAGCACTCATTTTATGTAATTATCCAATTCATGCAGCATTGATTAGCCATTTATAATAATATTCGTTATGAATATTTTGACCCTAACTTTAGTTATTACTTAAATTTGTTGCCAGGTGAAAAATTTGACTGTTAGTCGGCTATGCAAAACGCAAGTGATTACTGCAGTAAATGGTGGTTTACCTGGTCCGACGATTCGCGTTCAAGAGGGCGACACATTAGTTGTTCATGTCTTTAACCTATCACCTTACAACATGACTATTCACTGGTATGTTTTCAATACAATTGGTAATGTTAAATAAAATTATATTATTAGTTGGTGGGTTAAGGTTAATTGATTGATGACTGTTGGTTGAGCAGGCATGGAGTGTTTCAGATGCTGAGTAACTGGGCAGATGGACCTAGCATGGTCACTCAGTGTCCAATTCGACCCGGATGCAAACACACATATAAATTCACCATCGTTAAACAAGAGGGGACACTTTGGTGGCATGCTCACGTCTCGTTTCTCCGTTCCACCATCTACGGTGCACTCATCATCCGTCCCCGAGACGGCCAATTGTATCCGTTCCCTAAGCCCTATGGGGAAGTTCCGGTCATTTTAGGTGAGTGGTGGAATGGTAATGTCGTTGATGTGGAGAGACTGGCAGCTGCTACAGGAGCTGCCCCTAACCTTTCTGATGCTTTTACAATTAATGGATGGCCTGGTGATACCTACCCATGCTCTAAACATCGTAAGTCATCTCATAACATTTGATTTTTCTGAACTTAATTTTTTTTCCTTTGAAATTATGATTATCTTTCAACAGTAATAATATGTAGCTAGTTGGTTTTACACGTATTTGATCTTATTTTGATATGATTTAATTAAGTGGGTTTTCGATCAGAAATGTTCGAGCTTACGGTGTTGCAAGGGAAGACCTATCTCTTACGTATCATCAATGCTGCACTCAATAGCCAGTTCTTCTACAAGATAGCAAATCATAAGATGGCAGTCGTTGCCATCGATGCCTGCTACGTCGAACCTTATGTCACCGATGTTGTGGTAACCGCCCCCGGTCAGACGGTCGACGTTCTGTTAACGGCTGATCAACCAATCGGCTCATATTACATGGCTGCTAGACCATATGCAAATGCAGTTGTATCCGGTGTACTTGCAGCCTTTGCTAATACCACCACAAGGGGTGTCCTCATCTATGACGGATGTCCATCTCCGGCGACACCACAAATGCCGGCCCTCCCGGCATTCAACAACACCCCCGTGGCGCACAAATTTTACACCGGCCTTAAAGGGTTGGTCGGAGGGCGTTTCTGGGACCCGGTTCAGCTTAAGGTGGATCACAAAATGTTCATCACCATCGGATTGGCGCTCGAGCCATGCCCAGCGAAAACGAGTTGCAGGGGTCCAAAACTCTCATCCAGCATGAACAATGAGTCCTTCGTGAAACCTACAAGCTTGTCGTTGTTGCAAGCCTTTTACTACAACGTCAATGGCGTTTACACCACCGATTTCCCTGCCAAGCCCCCCATCGAATTCGACTACACCAACGATGCCGTTAACAATAACCTTCCGATGCTGTTTGCTCCGAAGAGTACGAAGGTCACCAAGCTTAAGTTCAACTCAACCGTCGAGATAATATTCCAAAACACGAATATCCTGGGACCGGAGAATCATCCGATGCATCTCCATGGCTTTGATTTCTATATATTGGCTCAAGGGTTCGGAAACTACAACCCTGCTACTGATGGAAAGAAGCTCAATTTAATTAACCCTCAGAAACGCAACACAATCGGTGTGCCGGTAGGAGGATGGGCTGTCATCAGATTTGTAGCTAATAATCCAGGTTAGTTTCCAATCATCATTTACATTTCGTCGGATTAAATATCAAACTTTAATTCAGTGGAAGAACAAATTACAATTTGGCAGAAAATTTTCTTGATATTATTGTTTCTTTTTGCTTGGCAATTAAATTTCACTGAAATATCATATATTCCTAAAATCGAAATGCATGTCTCGTTAAAAACTTTCTTACACTTACGAATAAAAGAGTGCACACATCCGAGAGACGACTGAATACAAAGACTCCATTCAACAACAGCAAGAGACACTTCTTACAACAGAAAATTTTCTTGATATTCTTGTTTCTAATATATACCGTACAGGTGTATGGTTACTGCATTGCCACCTCGACATGCACTTACCGGTGGGCCTTGCCACTGCCTTCATGGTTGAGAACGGACCCACGCCTGAAACAGCCTTGCCACCACCGCCGGCAGATCTTCCACAATGCTAGACATATTTAATTCATTTGACGACGACAGTGTTTTTTCTTTTTCCCCCTATGACCATACATTTTATTTTATTTGCGGTTTTTATTTTGCAAGATTGTATTTTTTTAAATAATTATCTTTTGATTTCACTTCGATTGTTTCAAGATAACATGGTGTGGATCAAAAAATATAAATATTTCATTAACCAGTTCTTATCAAACTGGGCTAAATTTACGAGATAATGTTGTGAGAAAAAAAAATTCACGAGATAACGCGTTTCAACAATTAATTGTTGAGATAGGGTGTTTGCTACAGTTCGAATGAAGGTCGCCGGGTGGTCTGGGCGACCAATGAAGGGTATTTTGCAACATTGTATTTTTAATGTTTTGTTTCAGGCATGTATATTTTAATAATTATATTTTAGTCACTAGTTGTTTATTCTGTCAAGTTTGTGTATGATTCATTTTGATCATAATATTTTTAGTTATTTCATTTTAATCACTGATTTCATGTGTTTTATATATTTTCCTTAATTTTTGAAATTGGCCATGAAATTTGTAAACATTTATTTTAGCCACTGTTTAGTATTTATGTTTAATTATAATTTAATCATACATGTTTCTTGTTTATCCTATTTTAGTATGTATTTATTTCTCCCTACCAACGATATTATTTCGCAAATTTTTCCAATATAAAATAAAACTAAAAAATAGTGAAAAAAACTCGAAATAAATAAACGTAGAACAAATAAAAATTATTGAATACAAAACAAGATATCCCAATAATCAATTTTAAAATAAATACATACTAAATACAAAACAAGATATCCCAATAATAAATTTTAAAATAAATACATACTAAAATAGGATAAACAAGAAACATGTATGACTAAATTATAATTGTTTGTGACTAAAATAAATACATGTATGAGAGTGCAAAGTATGAGGACCAAATTTGCATTTAACCCAAACAATTATTGTTTGATTGTTTCTCCCATGGATCACCTGGCGACCTTCATTGGTCGCCCAGAACACCCGGCGACCTTCATTGGTCGCCCAGACCACCCGGCGACCTTCATTGGTCGCCCAGACCACTTGGCGACCTTCATTCGAACTGTAGCAAACACCCTATCTCAACAATTAATTGTTGGAACGCGTTATCTCGTGAATTTTTTTTTTCTCACAACATTATCTCGTAAATTGAGCCCGTAAATTCAGCCCGTAAATTCAGCCTATCAAACTGTATAAAGTTGATGGTAATAAAATTGATCCGCGGGTGTTTTCCTACATGTGCGTCGCGTGTCTCAGGTATGTATAAACTTGATGGTTGAGAGAGTACTATAGGAGTAAAAAAAATAAATAAAGAATGTTTTATGAATATATTAGATTTATTAATCAATTAATCTAGATCAAATAATCAAAATGAATATTAATTCAATCTATTAATTAGTTAATTCATATCGAATAAATAAAGAAAAATAACTTTTATGCAAAAGAAAATTCATAGCAAGTGAAAATTATAAATAAATTAGAATCTTTTAAGTTTTAAAAATTAACATGATATTAGTTCCTGATATTTAGTCTCAAAAATATAAATATGATTACATTTTCTTCTCACTAATATATTAAAGTTAAAGCGAGTATGGAGTCTCCACATAGAAAACTTCACTAATTTGACAACTTCCCTTAAAATAAAATTTACAACTTAGTTATATAAAATTTGGCTCACAACTTCGTTATATATTAAACAATTTCAATGATAAAAAACGTTATTTTTAAAAAAGAATTAGATATGAATAGTTATGTTATAAAGTGTATACATGATTAATGATTAAAATAGTTATTTTATAATTATAAAGTGCATATATTATTAATGATCAAAATTTTTTATCATTGTATTAAATTCTATTTCGTCATATAAGTTAAAGATCCATATATCCATTGTAAAAAATTTAAGCTTTATATGTATTTTGGATAGTAAAATTAACTATTTCTTTTTTGAATGAAAGTTGGACTAAACTAAAAACATATAGGCAGTGTTCAGCCGTGTAAAAAATATAAAACTTAGATATTTTACATTGTGTAATCTCTTTGTATCTTACCTCCACTTAGCTTTTGCATTCTCAAAGGACGAAATTGCCAATTGGTTGGACTTATCAAAAGCATTTAACAACATGAACGATGGGAGAAATGGATCTTTCAACTTGTTGTGAATAGAGAATGGTTGTTTTATTTATGTTGAATGAAATGGAAAGACACTGTCTGTCTGCTAAAACTCCACTCATAAACAAACCCCGAATTATCTCCTCTCCCTGCCAATTATTCCTCCAATCAATTTACATCTCGAATCAACCCAATTCTGATGAAACCAATTAATAGGTAATAACGTAACAACCACAAACGAATTTGATCATTCCAGGGGATCTGGGGCTGGAGCCGAAGCTAATGCATCAGCCGCAAATAACTCTGCTTCCATGGGAGCAGGCCCAAGGGCTGCCCCAGAGCTCGACAAGAACTCCGCCATCGACCGCCGTGGATTGATGCGCTGAGCCTCACACAGATCTGGTAAAAACACTCCTGCAGCAACCAATCATTGGGATATACCATTAGTTTTTATAGGATCTCGCAGTTGAGTCTGCAAAGAGTAGATTGTCAATAGATCAAGAAAAATTCTAAACAGATACGTGATGTAGCAGAGAGACCGAAACCCATAATTTGATCTATAAAGAAGGAAAAGTTGGGTAAATTCGTTACCTTCACCGGAGGCCAAATTGAAGAAAAGGTCAACGATGTTGGGGCAGTTGTGGCTGCAAGCGGGGGCACAAAGCTTGTTGGTGAATTGTGGTTCGAGAAGGGAATCGGATGAAATGCCAATGGCATTCCTATCAACCCCACAGGCCCGAACACATTCGTCGCTCTCGATATGCTCCGCCATTCGCTCCACCACCACCTCCGACGTCCGGCATTGGTACTCTACCTTATCTTTCTCCCTCGCCGTCTCCAACAAACATCTCTTCCCTGAAGACGATATCGAAAACGCGCAAACATCATGTGGCAAATCTTCGCAAACAATCTCAGCTGCACAAATTTCACAACATCAAATGAGACAGGAACATATATATATATGTAAAAGAGATGCTTCCATTAACAATGGCGTACCTAGAGAACCATGGAGGAAGAGAGAAGAAAGGAAGAGAAAGAAAGTGAATTTGAAGGAAGCCATGGTTAAATTAAGAGATGAAGGGTTAGTTATCTTTGAAGGTAGTTTCAAAAAGAGAAAATCGCCTCAGTGACCAAAAATACCTTATAATATACGATTTTAACCAATTTTTTTTGGATTTGCCAAAATGACCAATAAAATCGTAACGCGATATCAAAATCGCAACGCGATTTAGAAAATCGCAACGTTAAAAAGAAAATCGCAACGGTCAAAAGAAAATCGCAACGCGAGCTTCCAAGTTCGCAACGCGATTTAGAAGAAAATCGCAATGCGATTGATTGAATCGTTCTCTTGTTCACATCGACGGATTCTCTGCTGGTTCTCCACTTGTCGTCTGCACCGTCTTGCAGACAGTGAACGTGAAATGAATGTTCACTGAAAAATCAAAATATATTGTCGACACCGTTTTTCGTCTGGACGGAAAAAAACTTAGTACAACTTGGGAGGTTTTTATTTGAAAAGATTTTGAAGTGTTTTAGAGTCGTCATTGACCTTTTGAATTAGGTAGGTCGAATACTTGAAAATTTTATTTTAAAAGAGTTTTTAAAAAAACATTCATTTTAAAATATAAACTAGTCTACGTGTAACCAGAGATTTATTCTTTTTTTGTAATAAAAAAGGGGTTCGGGGGATCGATTACGTGTGGAGAAGGATAAGCACTCCTACAACGCCCAAAATTAGTATCCCGTCAATTATAAATTGTCTCTAATAGTGGAAATCTAAGAATTCGAATACAAATTTAAGTTATGATCCTATTATTCCAAATTCAACCATACAATTTTTATTTAACGGGAAATTTTAAGGAGAAATAGAAAATATTCCAATATTTCCAATCGTAGAGAAAATAATCCCTAAAATACTTTAGGAAAAATATTTCTCTTTCCAACATAAATAAAAGAATATAATAATTTCTCCCAAAAATTCGATATTAAAATAATTTGATTCGACCAAATAAGTTAAGTCAATTAATCAAAATTATATTAATCATGCTAGATGATAAAAGTTTAAACTAGAATGAAAAAAATATAAACACAATAAAAATCAATGGCCCACAAATAAGTATCACACAAATATAACTGTTTTAATAAAATAAAATCATAAACATAAGGACCACAATGCAAGATAGCAAAATAATGCATTCAATATGATAAAAACATGAAACAATCATATATATATGGAACTAAAATAAAATAAACAGAAACTAGAATGCAATAATTAAAGGACTAAAATTAAATTGATGAAAAATACATGACCAAAATATAATAAAACAAAAATAATAGCCAAATCAGAAATAAAAAATTGACTAAAATGAATAAATTTCAAATATCACATCCAAATCATAATAACATCAGAACCCAATCAGTGGCTAAAATGAATAAACATAAAAGAACTGATTAAATTTGAAAGTTAATAAAAATAATATGCATATTCGAAATAAATAACAAAGTACATAAACAAAGTGCAAAAGAATATAAAATACGGGGAGCTTAAAGATGATTTTACCATGATAGTAACCAAAACGTAAAACACGCTGAAATTGGGAGGATCTGGAATGTGATTTGACCCTGAAACAGTTGAACAAAACAAAAAAAAACCCTAGAAACCAAGGACCTGATACGTGATTAACCCATTTTCCATATAAACAAAATACTCCCCTTGTTTCACATAAACTGCCGAGACTTCCCAAAGCTTCAACAACCTCAATCGGCCACCGCTCAACGACCCCCACATGTCGGCCACCGGGTCGGTGTCTAACCTACATCCACGACGACCTTTACCACGGTCAAAGGAAGCCTGAACGACAGCTTAAACGGTCGAGAACCTTTCCTGTTATCCTCATCTCCCAATTTTTCTCTTCACAACGTCGAGGGACGTAAAACCGACCCGCAACATCGGCCACCGAGACCTTATGACCCCCTCACTCCCTTAAGATCGTCTTCGACCGGCCGGTGAAGATCTAGATGACATAAACAGCCCTCACCCTTCGCTAATCACTCATACAACCGAAACCCCGAATACCACCCCTACCATCAACCTCCCGATCGAAACTCCATGGCCTTCACCGACCACCAACAACCGAAGTTTCCTGGCCATGAGAGGGCCTCTCTCGCCCGCCCGCCATGCTCAACGGTGGCCACTCTCTCTGCCCATGAACCCCCGAAACCAAAAGGAAAAGCAAAAATCCCATGGAAAAGCAAAATGAAAAAGACAGAAAAGAAAGCAAAACTGGAGAGAAAAAAAGGTCTTTTTATTTGATCACTTTCAAGGATAAAAGCTCAGTGATTTTACAATGGTGGTTGGGGTATTAATAACCCCAACTGCAATATTTGTTTAATCTTTTTTTTACAATAAAATAATGATAAAATGAAAAACAAAAAAAATAATAATAAAAAGTGGTGTTTACAGCTGCCCCTCTTTGCTCATTGATATGGAATAGGAATAGAGCAAAGATAGTATACACCATTTTTTTATCTAGCCTGAACGGCTAAAATCTTGAGCTCCAATTTCTTCTGATCGGGAGAGTTTTTCTCATTATGAACTCTTCGTTGGGGATGTCAATCAACTTCCTTCTGTGATGGAATTACCAAGGTTGAACAAGTTCTACTTATTATGAACTTCTTCTTCCTCATCGGATGAGTTCTTCTCATTATGAACTCTCTACTGGAAATGTTGATCCCTCGAGTGAGGTGTTGCTGATTCAACTCCATATGTGACGAATCGAGCTAAGGTTGAACAAGTTATTCTCATTATGAACTTCTTCTCCTTCATCGGATGAGTTCTTCTCATTATGAACTCTCCATTGGAAATGTTGATCCCTCAAGCGAGGCATCACTGATTCAAAATGTCGTGAATCGAGTGATAGGTCGAATAAGCTCTTCTCATTATGAACTTCTTCTCCCTCTGTCGGATGAGTTCTTCTCATTATGAACTCTCCATTTGAAATGTTGATTGGTTCATCTTCTCTTTGAAAAGTTTTAAACCTGAAAAGATTATCATATGTCAGTAATAATTATGTTTTAAGTACTAGAAGGTATTAACCCGATGGTCCTTTATTTTTCTGAGATCCATTTCTTTAAATGGTGAGAAGTATGGATTGATTCTTTGCTAAAACCGTGAAATGAAATCTTTATTGGCTTTTTGAATTTCTTAATGTTGCAAATTGCTGAGTTTTGTCTTTGTTTGGTCCATCCTCTAAACTACACTGCTCATTCTCCTTGAAGTGGCCTAGAAAAGTCAAGTTGGAAGAAAGGCATAATTGAAAATACTTCTAGGGAAAAATCTTAAGAAAGACTCATGCAACATCCCAGAAAAACAGTACTAAGAAGGACCCAAACAATTCTCTAGAAAAATGATCCTAACAAGGACAAAATAGTTTTTCAAAATAAACTTTACAGGTATCCTCATGAGAGGGAAATCAAAATTTATGATTTGTATGAAATGATGAAATGTATGATGCAAACATGCTAGTCATGTATAAATGATGTTTTTCTTGATCTGTTGGAAATGGTTGCAAGAGCAGTCTTCATTGTTAGATCAGTCATCATTCTTTTCCTGGTTTGATTATCTTCTTTATCTGTCGCACCTGAGTGTATTCTTTTGAATCTTGACTTGTGAATGAGCGCATCTTGCCCTAGTAAATTTTTGTTCCTTCGATAAATTTAGCTTCTTCAAAAAGATTCATTTACAGTTATCAAGAAACCCCTAAAATTAAGCTTAGATTCTTTCAAAAATTTATTTAAAAACATCATGAAACCCCTGAAAATCAGGCTTAGTTTCTAAAAATATTTCCTTTTCAGTGGTCATCAAGAAACTCCTAAAAATTAGGCTTAGCTTCCTTTAAAAATTCTTTGGAGATAATCGTCAAGAAACCGCTGAAAATCAGACTTAGTTTCTAAAAACTCATTTGAAAACATCCTGCCCGAAGGTCTTATGGATGGCCCAAAGGACTTATCATCTTGCTCAAAAGACTTATAGATGATTCGAAGGATTTAAGCATCATGCTTAAAAGACTTACTGATGGCCCGAACGACTTACTAATGGCCCGAATGACTTAAGCTGATTCAAAGTGTTGTGAATCGAGCAATAGGAAATGTTAATCCCTCAGGTGGGGTATTATTGAATCGAAGTATTGTGAATCAAGCAAAGGAAATGTTGAAAACATCCTGCCCGAAGGTCTTATGGATGACCCGAAATACTTAAGCTAATTCGAAGTGTTGTGAATTGAGCAAAGGAAATGTTGAAAACATCCGGCCCGAAGGTCTTATTGATGGCCCGAAGGACTTACACATCATGCTCAAAAGACTTATTGATGGCCCGAAGGACTTACACATCATGCTCGAAAGACTTATTGATGGCCCGAAAGACTTACTCATTAAGAAACCCTTGAAAATCAAGCTTAGTTTCTTAGTTGTCAAGGAACCCCTAAATATTAGGCTTAGTTTCCTTGTAAAAACTCATTGAAAATCATCATCGAGAAACCCCTGAAAATCAGGCTTATTTTCTAAAAATTCATTTGAAAACATCAAGATATCCATTAGATGAGATGTCTTGAATCTTGAATCTTTTCCATTAGATGAGATATGTGCCCCTTTCGACAAAGGCGATCATTTGTTTCTTGATGGATTACTTTGGCATCGTTTGTTCTTTTCTCTGATTGAGGCACAATGAGCCTCACCAGCTTCAATGACCTCTTTCACTTGAATTGTTCTGTTTTCTAATGTTTCTATTTTTTCTTTTATTTTAGAAATGTGAAAAAAATATTAAATAAAATTCAAAAGTGTTGTCATTTTCTTTCGGCTCACAATCAAAACAAATTGTAAAACAAGAGTTCACCGAATATCAAATAAGTCAAATTTTCTTTTAATCCTTCAAAAATTATATACATTTGCAAAGTGTAAAGATTAATGCTGATATAAACCTTAGGCTGACTTGGGAAGGTAATGTGTTTCAAGTTAATTTGGGGAGGTAATGGGTTTCAGGTTGACTTTTTGCGTCCTCGATTATGGTGTTCATTGACATGACAAAGCAACCATCA